GGGTGGTGGTAGGGAGGAGCACACAGATTTACCCCAGCCTGGGCAGGACCAGGGCAAAGAGTCTTGGGCAAGCAAAATGAGAGAAAGCACGAGAGTGGAGCAGAAAATGTCTTTAGAAAAAAGGGATGCGCGCGTGCAGCAAAAGCAGCCGGGATGGTGCGAGAATACGCAGGAACTCCTCGGCGAAGGTGAAAAGGGGGCCCCCTCTCACACACACACACAATCCCCAGGGCTAGGGCCAGAAACCGCGGAAACTCAACCGCGAGTGTGCCCAGGGGTCGGTGCTCCCCACCCCCAAGGGGTGCTGGAGGCAGAGAGCCCCTCGGCTGAGCGGGTCCCAGAATCAGCCGCTTGCCCCGAGCGCGCTCAGATGGTGGGTCCGGCTGGCCGCGGCGGGCCCAGCGCAGCAGTCCCGCCGTGGCTCACTGCATTTTCTCTCCCGCAGGACGCCGGGGACTCTGGCTTCGCCGGCTCACTGTCCGGGCTGGCTCCGCCAGGGCAGCGCCGGGCTCCGAGGGCGGGGCGTGCGCATGGTCGGCTCCGGGGATGGTCGCTACCTCATTTCTTCCCTCCGGAGGGTGTCCGACTGCGCTCCCGGGATCCCCTGGCTCGGCTGCCCGCCTTTGCAGCGCGCCCCCTCCGATGTCGCGAGCGGTAGCTGCCTCGCCAGCCTCATATCCTTGCCGTCTGGGAGGAAGATCTCGGGTAAATATAGGCCGGCGCGAACCATTCGCTGCGCGGGGACAGGGGAGGAGCGGATCTGTGTCGGGCTTGGAAGCCCGGCGGGTTCCCGGTCTCTTAAAGGGACCTGGTTGCAGCCATTGGCTGAGGGAAAGGGGAGAACGGTCCAGCCTGGCAATTAAATCCCAAGTTTACCAGCAGAAATTCTGTAGAATTTATCTACGAAAATCGCCAAGACCTTTGGTTACCCCGCAAGAAAAGCAACTTGAATTCTGACACTCCACCCACAGCCTGAACTGCAACTCACTGATGTGTGTCTCCGTCGGAACTTCTGGGGGAGGTGGTGGAAGGTGGGATTTACACTATAAAATACAAAAAGGTTGGGGAAATAGGGATTCTTTCCGCGTGTAATAGCTTTCTGAAATTGACTGGGTGCTGTTTAATTTTTTTTTCTCCAAAATTTTATTCTATTAAAGAAAATAAAGAGGGGCAAAGAAAAGTCTGAGACTTATCTCTCACTATCTTGGAGCCCTTTCTCCACAGGCAAAGAGCAGATAGTGAAAAGAGAGATGAGTGGTAATAGGATGATTAGAGTGAACACTATAGTATGTGTTTGGTAAATGAGGTGCTTCCAGCTTCTAACCCCCAGCAATGCCCCCTCCTTCTGTCAGGCCTCAGAGTAGAGCAGTTTTCTGAGATATATTCAATTTCTAAGTAATGCTTGTGTGTGGTTAGAACTCAGTTTATAATTTGGCAGGCCAGTCATTCAGTTTTATTACATCATTGTCACATTATGGATGAGAATTCCTAGTAAAAATTCAAATGACGTTTTTTATTTGTGTCAAATAATGCCCGGCCACCCTCCACAGAGAGTGGTTAACAGTAATCATTCTTTTCTCTTGTGCCAGCTGGATAATGTCGCTTTAATCATCTGGCCGCCTTGACCCTTGGCTAGTAACTCATTTCTGGGCCCTGAAAACAACGGGCTTGCCTCTACGGTCTGCTCAATCAAAGCAAAACCACTTCTAGCTGGAATGTGTGATAAATGTCCGGGTGACCCTGCACCAAACTCCCAAGCTCATCCCAGAGGAGAGCAGGCCCCCCCACTCCCCAGGCCCAGTCTACTGGGGATCTGGATGTCTCTGGCTTCCATGCCAGGTTCTGATTTCAGAATAACTGTAACTCCGCATGGAAATTCTCTGGCCCTCTACCTTTACTAACTTTTAACCTTTCTTTGAACTCTAACCCAAGTTTCTAGAGTCACTGGTGCTGCGTTTCAATTTAACTAACTTTCCCGAGTACCTTTTGGTACCAGGCCCTGAGCTGGGAACAGACCTAATTCCTGTCTCCAAGAAGCTCCCAGTCCAATGAAGGATGTAAACTTCACCCACCTCTGGGCTTCTCCTGGAATGTAAGTTCTGTGAGAGCACCCTATCTCCCTCCAGTGCCTGTCACTACTTAATTGTTGAATGAATGAATGAAATATGCATGTAAACAAGAAGACAGAGTGAACTAAATGCCCTGAGACAAGACCCAAAGTACTCTGAGAAGCTGGAAGAAAAGGTTCTTTGTGACTAGGAAAATCAGAAAAGGTTCCATGGAGGTGGTGAAGTTTGAAATATGGACAGGATTTTGCCACGGAGGGAAGAATTAAAGGGCTTTCCAGATATAGAGAACAGCAAAATTATAGAACATAAAAATGCGTGCACATGCGTAGTTGAGGATGGCATTTGACAATTGTGACAATGAAAGAAGAAAATTTCCTGATCAAACAAGGAAGTCTCCTGGTCACGCCCTCCTAATCTCTGAGGGAAGGAATAGCCTTTTCATGGCTGGCTGGTCCCAGAATGTCATTAGACCAAAGCTCTAATGCCTTACTCCTCAGCTACACTGATGGGTTAATGGAGGTACGGTGTTGGAATGAGCTGGTTAGGACTATAATAAGCCATTTAAACCAAGGTTAATTCCTCTTCTGCTCACATTTCTGGAATATCTTGCAGTGGCAATGAAGGAGATGGCATGTGCTCCAAACAAAAAATTCCAATAAAAAACCCACCAAATTAACCTGTGCTAAGTGACCTTTAGCTGGTCCATAATCTCGAGGTCTAGACTCTACAAAAGCAGGCATCATGTTCAAGCAGTTAACATTTCCAAATTACTCAGAGGTCCAGGGACCAGAAGTGTTTGAGCAGGAAGAGAAGGGACCAGTGGTGGGAGCTGAGGCTGGTCTCAGCCTCCGCGAGAGGCACCTCTTTGGGCTTCATGCAGTGGCAGGGAAACCAGTGGACCACAGCAGCAGGGAGGACTCCACTGGCGGGCCAGGCTTTCCAGTGGAGCCAGAGTGTCAGACCCAGATGCACAGGCCCACAGAGCTGCTCCTGGGCTATCTTCCCTGTTTTCAACATGGGGAGGACAGAGAAATTTTCGGCAAATGTCAACACTCTGACATGTGAGTCCCGCTCTGCAGATGTGAGACAGAGCAGTTCCAGAAGAGACCTCAGAAAAGTCAGCCGGAAACGGCTTAGAAACTGCATAGGACCACAGACTGAACTTGTTTTTTATGACACTGCCCCATCTACTGGTGCCAGGCAGAAGTGACACTTGATGAGATGGTTTATCATAGAACTGGATAAGCCAGTGGTTGAATCAATACACAGCCAAGTCACAGCTGGAAAGAAACCCAGCCTCTAACGTAACATGTAAGAGTCTGCCTTTTAGTGCGCAGGAAGCTTTCAGGCTGGTTTTCTCCCACCTTATTTCTTGCATAACGCTCCTGCCTCTTGGTCCCCCTCCCGCTACACCCCACTGAATGAACATGGGCTTCAGAGATGATAAATGATGTATCTGGGATCTTCAAAGCCATTCAACAAATATTTGTGGATGTGATTTGTAGATATACTGTGGATGTGATGTTGTTGCTGGGGATACTGCCCCAAAGCAGACAGACGGGTCTCTGCCCTCATGGGATTTATATCCTATGGGGAGGCAGATAATCAGCAAACAAATAACTAGTAAAATATCAGTTAGTGATAAGTCTCTGAGGAAAAGAAAACAGTGTTAGGAGTAGAAAGTAGCTGGTTTAGACAGCAGAGCCAGCGAAGGTATCTCTGGGCAGAGACCTGGATGAGATGGAGCCAGCCAGGCAAAGATATGAAGGGAGAACATTCCAACCCATGTTGGTCAAAGTGGTAGTCACTGGCCACGTGCAGCTAATGAGCACTTGACATGTACTTGGTCCAAATTGAGATGTGATGCAAACATGAAATACACTCTGGATTTTAAAGACTTAGTAAGATAAGAAGGATGTAAAATATCTCAATAATTTTATAGTAATTATATATTGAATGATAATATTTTGCTATTTTGAGTTAATAGAATATACTATTAAAATTAATTTTGCCTGTTTCCTTTTACTTCTTTAATGTGGCTGCTAGAACATTTAAAACTATACATATGGACAGCTTTGTGCTAGGCAAAGGGCACACCCAGTACGAAGTCCCCAAGGTGGGAATGATTCCAGTGGGTTCAAGGACTCTCTGGCTTCAAAATCCCACTGTGTGATCACAGCCTCTTACCCTTCCAGCCCTCTTCATTCCTTACTCTATCGCATCAGTTATTTAACCTTCTCAAGACCTCCAGGATCTACATCAGCATTCCTCACAAGTAGACTCACCCACTGGCTGCATGAGAATCCCCTGGGACAAGTCCTGGATCCCACCCTTAAATGGGAATTTCTGGAGTTAGGGGCTGGGAGTATACATGCTGAAACTCCTCCATGATAGAACAGTTACTCAAGTTTAGTGAGCCCTGTCCTAGCCCACTTCATTTTTCCCACTATCAACTCCTTCCGAGCCTCGTATCCTTGCCTTCCTCCCCATCCAAGACCTTCTGGATGAGCATCGGGTCCACAATTTCTGTGCACCGCATCCACCCCATCCCTGGACCACTACCACAATCTCTATGCTCTGCTTCTGGAGCTATAATGCTTAGTAGAATCCCTCAGCTGTTCGGGCAGTGCCTCAGCCCATTCTGACCCCTCCTATGGTAGGCAGAATAATGACACCCCCCCCCCCCCCCCCGCCCGGCAAAGATGTCTATGTCCTAATCTCCAGAACTTGTGAATATGTTACAGTACATGGCAAAGGGGAAGGAAGATTCTACAATTAAGGTAGAATGGCAGATAGAAAGGTAGATAGAATTAAGGTTGCTAACTAGCTGACCTTAAAAAGGGAGAATAATCTGAATTATGCAGATGGG